AGAGAGGGGGGGCATATGGAGTTAGGTCTAGCCTCCCGCTTCTGCAATTGCCGCCATCTCTCTTCCTGAGGAAAGCGAGCTGGCCGCATGTATGCCCGCCTTGCCCTTCTCATTACAAAGCCAGGTCCCCTCGGGGGTTGTAGGGAGGAGCGGGAGGGCCCTAAACCACGGAGGACGAGCTGGCCAGTCCCTGTCCCCGGAACTGGGCTCTTCTCGGGTATAAGAGACGGAGCTCTCCTGAATCGGGCGAAGGCTTCCCGGTTCTCTTCCTCAGCCGCACACACTGGTCGCCGGCGTCTGAAAGTCAATCGCCCGAAAGGCAAAGAGGTGGTCGGTGGTCTGAAGTGAATTGGGAGTCGGAGCTCCTCTCAGATCCAGCGGGGTCTCTTTTTATTTTATTTTTATTTTTACTGTCTGGTTTGACTCTCCACGCACCGCCGAAAAACAGAAATCCGGACCAAGTGAAAGTGGGGGAAAGGTCCCGCAAAACTCCTTTCGTTCTGACTCTCGAAAGGTGAAAAAAAGAGAGGGAAAGGAAACGGATAACAGGGAAAAAGAGAGGTCTGTCAGGAGATTTTGAGTAGGTCGTCCGCAATAAGTATCTCTTACAAAAAACAGCTCACCATAGTCCCTCCTAGCCCGCCGCCACAATCTGGGTCTGTCGCTTTCCTGCCCCCCCCCCCCGCTCCACTCGCAGCATCCCCGGAGAAAGCGCGGGGAGAGCGAGTCCCCCTTTTTAAAGCCAGCGCTATCGGGATCGTCTCCGTGGCTTCTCACTCCGGACTCCAATCCTGCCGTCCGGGCCCACCTGGCCTCGGACCTTTCCCTAAAGGGGAAAAGACATTCCCGCCGCCTACTCTCAACCCTCCCTTGGGGCACTTCAGGCACCAGAGCAAGCGAAAGCCAGAATCCGTTCACTGAGGCGAGAGGCTTCCTCTTGTGCAAGTTTCTTCGCGACGCCTCTCTCTCTCTCTCTCTCTCTCTCTCTCTCTCTCTGTGTGTGTGTGTCTGTGTAAGGAGAGAGAGAGACAGAGCCTGTAGAAATAATTTTCGGTTCTGCCAGGTAAAAAGCAGGGTCAATCTGGAGACAATTAAGAGTCGTCGCCTCACGTTTGATCGCCTCGTTGGTTGCCTCCCGAAAGTCGTGCAACCGCGAGAACGTGTGAACGTGCGTGGGCATCGATGAATACTCCTAAAACGCGTGTGGGGTGCTGGCTGGAGTTTTTCCAGCGAAGTGTCAGCAGAAAGTCCCTGAAGTGTCCCGGAAAACAAAGCAAAGCGAGTGTTCTCTTCCCTGCTGCCCGGTCCCAAGCCTAAGACGGGGTGGGGGGTGGGGATTGAACGTCCATCTCAAGACGGTGAAGAGCCCTGAGAGGCGCGTAGGAAAATGCTGTGTACGTTGGGGAGGAGATGTTGAGATTTTCCCTCTTTCCTCCAAATGCGAGGTGGTGGGTGGATAAATAATACTTTAATATTCTTAAAATTCACCTTGAAGCACTTTTCCTTAGAAATGTAGATTTTACTTCTCAGGTGCTATTACGGCACCTGATTTTATAAGGATATGGATGCCCCCTCGTAAAGTTAGCAAAATGAAGCCATTCTCGGCTGATCACACCGCCTCTCTCTCGTTTCTGGACGCGAGCCCAAACTCAAGTAAATGTGGGCAATATACCCGAGTCTAACAAAAGTAAATGAAGGGAGGACAGGCTTAGATTTTGCTCGAATTCTAGTTCGACTAAATGAATTTTTGCTTTTCTCGCGACGAGGGTCGCCTTCCTTCAATAGTAAATAAAATAAACGGTTATTCAGCCAGGTTCGAGGCTTTCCTTTCCAACCCAAGCACTTTGATGCTAACAGAAAGTTTTCCAGCAAAGGAGATTCCTCTGAATTGCTTTAAAAGCCCTCATAAAAAGAATACCAGAGGGCTTCCAAGGACAAGAAAAAGGATATGGTTATCACACACTCTCCCCTTTTGAGATGGGTCGTGTGACGGGTTGTATTTTTTTAACCTTTCTGGAAACTTGTTTTCCTCCCCTGGAGATAGCCCACATGGTAATACCTGCGTTTTCTCCTCTTCTGTGTGTGACTTTGCTGGGGTTCCAGTCAGTATCTGGAAGAACTCACAAACACATACAAAAAAATTATTATGTTTTAAAAACACACTATTGCAAGGGGGTAGACTAGAGGGTAAGAGGCACGGGGGGGGGGAGCCAGAACAGAGAAGGTGAAAGGGAGAACCGAACCTTCCTCCGGCCCGCACAGAATATTTGTCCCAAAAGAAGGGTAGCTGGAGGTCTGCTTTGTAAAGCTTTACGAAGTCCTTCCTGCAAGGGAGTTAATAAACTCCTAAGCAGTCAGCAGCTTTGTATTTTATGTAGTGGACAGAGAAAATCTTCCACGGCTTTAATGTATGAAATAACTAAATGCCTGTGTGGCAGCTGTTTCTAAAGCCAAAACTAACTCTTTGGAAGGAGGGGAGGGGAGGGGAGACGAAAAGACTGCTCGTTTTTTCCCCCCTTTGGTGCCATTTTGGATGTCATCTGTTTCCTTGGTGACTGTGTTCAGCCCCCCCCCAAAGCCCCTGAGCGCCTGGATTGTTCGAAAAAAAGCATGCTATTTCTGCACCGTCATTTATCACTGTCACCGCATAATGATTCCCCTTGCAGCTCCTTATTGATGTTTGTAATTGCATTATCTCATAAAGGGGAGGGGTGAGGTGGGGGGGGGAGAGAGATGATCAATGAAACTGAACTGTGCGTTGTGGGGTCAGGAGATACACAAGTAGAGTTTGTGTGCGCACACACACACACACCCCGCAGAAACAGAAGAGCTGTTCTGAATTGGGGGTTGGGAGGGTGGGTGGGTGAGGTTATTCTTGTGTAGGGTACCTGATTGTGTGGGGATGTCATCCTTTCCCTCTCTTTCTTCCCGAGGTTTAGGTAACTTTTTGCCCAAATGCAGAACCGCTCCTTGCCTTGCATTTCAGCGAAGGAACAGTCCTGCCTGGTGAGAAGTGTGCTCCTCTGTCACAAGTGGGCAGAGGAAAGTAGTGAATAAGCACTTACGACCCTCCTTTTCTTTCTCTCTCGCTCTTTTTAATATTCCCCGTTCTCTACAGCTACTAGTTTTTTTTCTCTCTCTCTCTCTTGCTCCAAAGAGTAATTGGCAGAGGCACTATCTGGGAACTATCTTCAGCGCCGGCTTTTTTCCCCTAGTCCTTCTAGCGAGACCCCACTTTTCTGCCACCAATATTTTCCGCTTAATGAATGTGGATTGAGAATTTAACGCAGGTCGCCTCCCAGCTTCTCCGTCTGACCATTTCCCTCCAGGTACCTGAGGACTCACTGTTTCGCCCCCTTACCTGAGTAGAAAGAACAAACCAACCTGCCTTCTGAAATTGGAAACTGGGACCCTCCCCCTCCCAGCTCATCCTCGTGAAATGGCCCCGTTACCAGCTGGCAAGATGTGTGTGCGTTGGGGGGGGGGAGAGAATGGTCCTGGCTAGCTAAACAGAATGGCATATTGGTGCCACGTGAGGTTAAGGACATTCCACAAAGAAATAAAGCCAGGTTGCAAGGGTTGGGAATAGAAAGGGTCAACGTTGATGTGAGAATGTGTTTTTGCGCTCCGACTTGTAAACCCATCGATTGGACCGCGGATCCTGTGGATTTCAACGGACCCGACAAGATCCTGATTGCAATGCGTCCTTCCTGCTCCCCTCTTTTCATTGCCCTCTCGGGATCGTGCAGAGATCTCTCAACGGTGCCAAGTTTGTTTGTTCAGCCTGGGCGATGAAGGGGTATCCAAAAGGTCCAGCCGCATTCAAAGCACAGGTTTTGGAAATTCGAACTCCTATTTGATAATCTTTCTCTTATTTATCCTTCCCCTTCCCACCGCCCCGTTTTTTGGGTGCTTTTGGGATAAGTAAAAAAAAGCCAAACAGACTACACATTTCATATTTCAAGAAAAAAAAATTACTTGGTTGCAATCCTTTTCTTTAGATAAAATAGCATATCTTTCTTTAGATAAAATTTGTCTCCGACTACTGTATTGCACATAATTCCCTTTCCCACCTTGGTCGAGCTTTAAATTTCACCCTGCCCGTGGAGTAAATTGTAACCACTTTGGCTAGGCACCTCCATAGCACCCCTCCATTTAAATTGGTGTCCCCAGGACTCTTTGCCAAATGCCACCTTCACTTCTGCGATACCTGAGTCCGGGCAAATGCCCTTAGAATTAAGGCACAAGACCTATTAGGGATACATTGCCTGAGAAGGGAGATTTAATTGAAGGCAGAATTGATTCAATATCCCAATAAGAAATAAGAAAGTGCCTCTCCTTTCAATCCAACCCCAACCACGCCCCCGCACCAGAGGGGGGGGGCTGCAGTTAGGTTTTAGAGTCGAAGCGTTGAAAATGCACAGAATTGCCAGCATGCACACAGAACTGCGCTATTCTCACTGAATGGTGAGGAGGTAATCATGTTAACCTAGGCGCCAATTTTAACTGACCAGGCTGGGGGGAATCAATCCTCTGCTCTCCGATGTCCTTGGCTTAAGACTAGCAGTGAAAATTTGCCAAATTGCCAGCAGCAGTACACAGCTCCTAGTTTAGTTTTTCTTTTCTTTTCCATTTTTTTTTTTTTTGAGGAAGAACAAAGAATAAAAGCATTTTGGAGGAAAAGGTACCGCCAGGCGAAGCTGCTTGGTTTACAAGGTCTTTGTCACAGCTTTGGAGCTGCAGCTTCCTTTGGTTCCTATTTCAGTCTAAAAGTAAAAATCCCTTTCGTGAGATTCTCCTATTTTATATATATATATATATATATATATATATATATATATATATATATATATATATATATATATATATATATATATATATATATATATATATAAATCTAATCGTTCTCCCACCTCCAGCCGTCTTTCCATCAGTACTGCAGCTATATAAACAGAAACACTCTCGGCTGTATTTCGAAAGAACCGTTTGATATGGATCACCATGTGAATGTTATGTTATGTTTGCATTTCATTTTCGGAGGACTTCCTCTTCCTTCTCCCTATCCCCAGTAAATTAATCAAAATGAGTCGTTCATCCAGAATAATTTTAAAAGAGAGGAAGAATAATATTTCATGCCAGGAAAGCTTGGTTAAAATAATGAAAAATCACTCTCAGCTTAGAAATTATTTATTTATAGGACAAATCTTATATTAACATTTTTTTTAAAAAAAAACAACGTATAAACAACAGCTGAATCAACAACAAACCCCCTCCTGATTTACACTTATTAAATATTTGATTGTCATGTTAATACTTCATATTCTGCCTTTTATTTGCATTTTAATCTATGGAATATTTACAGTATTTTTGTCCCCCCCCCGTGATTGATTACAGATGGGGGGGGAGAGCATAACGACCCTCAAGCTAGTTTTTCCTCTCCCTCCCCCTTTCGCTGTTTACGAAGCTTTTTTCAACAATGGTAATGCGACCAGGACAAATAAATTATGTCCTTTCTAGACGTCAGAGAAACACTGTTCTATTTCCTCCCCAATACTTATTTTTATTCTCCTCAATCTCCAGCATGGTTTTAGGTAGCTGCTTTTCTGATTTTTTTTTAATATTTAAAACAATTAGGTCTGATGGTTTTTATCAAATGAAATAGCAACTATGAGCTTGAAAATAAATGTTATTAAGAATTTTAATTTCTTCCTTTCTTTCTTTCCTTCCTCCCTGTTTTTTTTTTTTTTTTTTTACAGGTTTAAGATGAAAAGTTCCAGAATCACTAAAAATGCTCTCGGTCGCCTCAAGTGTGTTGAGAAGAGGTCGGACAGTCTCCTGTTGCCAGACAAACAACGGAAGACAAAAGATACAGCCACGAGTCGTTTCTTCCCTTGCTTAATTTCCTGGCTTTATTTGCCAATACATTTTTGGTTCGGGTGGCTCCCAGGATCCAGTTATTCGGTGGGACCCAGTCCGGTCTCTAAAATTTGGGCAGTGGTGACCCTTTCTGTATAGAAAATAGATGTCTGCGGAGGAGCGGTCGCCCACTTCTGTCCTAAACAATTATTAAACGTGTCTGGTTTTTGAGATCTGTGTGTGTATGTATGTATGTGTGTATATATGTATATGTATGTATTTGTGTGTGTGTGTATATATAAATTTATCGCAGAACCGACGGCGATTGTGGGGCCTCACATACTAACTGCCGGGTGAAGGGAAATCCATACGAAAAGCGGGCAGGGGGGAGAAGTGACAGGCAGATTTGATAGATTGCTCTTGCTCTTGCTTTTTTTTTTTTTTTTCTTTAAGGAAGGAAGCAAAACCACATCATTGTCTCCGCGAAATGGCTCGTTTCCTGACTCACCTCGCTTATCGAGGTGTCCGTTCACACAGACCTGGCTCCCAAGCGGAGAGGTGACCAGTCCCGCCTGTCTGCAACTTCCCGTTTAATGAAACCTCTCTCGCTTGCAAACCTGGACCAAAGGACTTGAAAGCTATTTTATTGCAGCTAAAAACGGTGCGGGCTTCTTCTCTCCCGTGCGGCTGTGCTCTTGTGAGTGGGTGAAGTGGGGGAGAAGGAGGCGAAGGGGTGCCCGTGGTCGCTGTCCTGCCAATAACGCTTGGAAGGTTCGCTGGAACTCGTTTCCAAGAGTCTTAAGAAACGACCTTTTGTGAAGTCAGGGCACCAGACAACTACTAAATACTCCCCACTGCCTTAACTGTAAAGAGTTGAACCTTATAGCTCGATAGCAAAAATATATCGCTGACAAGCGTTTTGAAATCCGGAGTAAGGAAAGTACAGCGCAGGAGCAAATTGGTGGGACTGGACGGGACAAGCTTCGCCGTGGGAGACAACTGCCAGATCCAGATCTCCGCGTGGCGGGTGGGGAGAATTCATGGGCTAAAAAACCGATTGTGGGGTCCCAGGTAGAAAAACCAGCCGCCGCGCCCCGGTGTTTTAAGAGTTGGAAATAGATTCGTGAAGACGGCAGGGGCCGGGGTGGGTGGGAACAAACTGAAACGCAGAGCGGGCAGACGAGGAAGAAATTGAACGCCGAGGTTTTCTGTCCTCTTGTCGTTTTATTGGGGGGGGAGTGGGGGGGGGTAGTAAGCGCCAGGTTTATTGACGGCCGAGGCTCTAAAGAAGAGGCGATGGCCACCAAGGCGAGAGAAAGGCTCCCGCCTTAAGCCGGTCGTTGCCTGGCTCCCCCCCCCCCCCGAGCGAAAGGCGAAAGTGGCCTCTCGCCAGCCGCACTTCGTTTCTGCCGCGTTAGGAAGATGACATCCAAATAAACAAGGGACTTCTCGCCGGCCGGGCGGCGAAGTGCTGGGCCCAACGGAGCGCAGAGGCGCAAACAGCCCTTGAGAAGGCGAGAGACTTCTACTATTGCTGAGCGTCTCCCGCCCCTCCCTCTTCGCCTGTTGCCCCTAAGAGTATCGGGCCAACGCAGGTGGGTGGCGAAGACAACGGCTTGAAACAGTGGCGCGACCCGTGGGATTCCCCCCCCCCACGGGAAGCAAGTGAAGGGGGGGTCTTTGGAGGGGGGGAACGTGGTTTTACTCCTTCGAGAGTTGCAGAGTAAAAGGGAGTGACGGGGTTCCTGCATAATATCAAAGATGACGGCCATCGAGCTCAGCCAGCAGTCAGTGGAGGTTAAGCTTCCTACCGCAGAAGGGACGCGAGGTTATATTAAGCGCGGGAGAGTGACGCACGAGGCGTGCTCAGGCCTCGCCCACTGGCGTTGAGGGCATCGAAACGGCCCGGGAGGCCCCGCGATTATTGGAAGTAAGTTCCGCTGATTTCAATGGACGTCGCTTCCGGTGAATGCACGCCGCAAGGGCTTCGCGCTGGGAGCTCATCCCTGCGCTTCTACGGGCAGGGGAGAGATGTGAGGGCGCTCTCCGTTAAGACGCGCGCACGCATGTTTTCCCGCCGCCTCTACAAAATCAGACCCTGATAACGGGAGGACCTGGTTCTGCGCTGGTTAGAAAGAGGAGGAGAGCGGGTCCAACCCCACTGGGGATCCTATCGCACACTCGCCACTTCCAAGCGTCGAGGAGAGGGAGGGAACTTGGCACTGGCTTGCAAAGGTCACAGTGAGGGAGGCTATCTTTTTCCCCCCTTCAGTCAGATTAGAGCTGGAAGGGACCTTGGGGGGGGGTCTTCTAATCCGGCCCCCTGCTCAAGCTGGAGACCCTATACCTGGGGTAGGCAACCTCGGCTCTTTTATGACTCATGGACTTCAACTCCCAGAATTCCCGAGTCGGGAATTCTGGGAGTTGAAGTCCATGAGTCATAAAAGAGCCGAGGTTGCCTACCCCTGCCCTATACCATTTCAGACAAGTGACTGTCCAGTCTCTTCCTAAAAACCTCCATTGATGAAGCCGCTTGACTTCAACTTGATTGCAGCTTGGGGGGGGGGGGGAGGCTCAGCGCCTGCCCGTTTGCCTGCTCGAGGCAATCTAAACCCTGGGCTAGTCTTCACTGGCATCTGGAGATGGCAGCAGCAACGGCGCAGTCTGAACTCCCCTCCTTTGACCTGGATTACACCGACCTACCTAGAACTTGGTACCTGCGCCCTCCATCCTCGACGTTCAGGCAGGCCCCTCTTTCTTTCACCTCCCGATCAGAGCCGCTGTCGGTGTGTGTGTGTGGGGGGGGCACTATATAATTTCCACAAGCGTGGATTGTTAACACAGTCACCCTACCTGTACCTGATATTACTCGCCTGACTTTTTTCATAGCCACCTACTTCAATGCCCTTGGACTAGTTTCCGATTTCTCTTTCCCCAACCAGACCCAGCCTTTCACCAGATTCCCAGTCGTGGCCCGCCTATGAAGAAAACAATTAAGAGAGCCATTCTGCAGCCCCTTAGCGTGGCAACTTGTCTGTTTCACTTCAAGGGCGGCAAGCAAATCGTTTCCAGAGTTTATAAGTAATTAGGCTACTTTTAGGGAAATATCTAAGTAAAGCCGAGAAGAGTCTCGTCCTCGTTCCCTTTTCAGGCTGGGGGCTGTTTCTTGGACACAGGACGCGTTCTCGGTCGTGGTGGTGGTGGTAGTGGTGATTAGTTAGGCTGTTGAAAACTTAACATTGGCTCAACACGCAAATCACAGCCCGGTGGAAGTTAAGACGATTTGGACCCACAAACCGACTTGTGACCTCGGCTGCTTTATGAACGGGCAGGTTGAAAAAAAAGGACGGGGGAGGCGAACTGCGTGGGAAAATAATTGCGCATAATTAATGCTGAAGAGAAAATGGTCACATAATAGGCTGCCCAAAAAAAAAAAAAAGCCATCTGTAAGTGTGTATCCAGGGAACTTGTTTTAAAAAAACCCTTTTCTTTCCAGCCAGCCCCGGCGCCCCGATCATTCTGCTCTAGCAACCTATTGGGAAGAACCGTTGAAATAAATGGGACTTTCTTCCAAGTTCTCTTAAAAATGACCGCCTAGGGGATTCTACGGGTATTGGGAGGAAACCTACAATTTCATTAGCAGTATTCGCTCGTTCCTTATTCTCTGTTGGAATAATTTCACATGTACTTTCTGATTGTGAAAATTCCTATTTGGCTCATAATTACAGCATTGCCTTATTCCTGATGTGTGTATGTGTGTGTGTGTGTGTGTGTGTTTATATACGTGCTTTCTCTCCCACCCCTTTCAAGATTGCCTCCCGGTTCCAACTCTTTCCACATTGTATAGATATAATTTGCTGAAGATATTAAAAGAATTGTTGATAAAAATCAGCCCCCTTTTTTTCCCAAGGAGTGATTACTGTTATAAAAAAAATTACAAAAGAATACTCGGAAATATGTCTCACTGGTGTATAATTATACAGAGAGCTGGGTATACAGGATTGTAGCTTTAGGCTGCGATTTTAGACATATTGACTTACAAAAAGGCTCCAATAAAAGAAACATATTTCTTTGTTAATGAGGACAAGGAATAGTTTAACTGTATTTGAACCTGCCATTTCATTTTTATTTTTTAAAAAATCGTGTACCACCTGTGGTTAGGAAAGTGATATTTTTGTCCATAATATAAACTTATAATACATTATTATTATATGTATACTGAGGGAACTGAACTGTTCACAGTCTTTTATAAAAAAAGAAGAAAATCAGGACACTTTCCTTGAGAACAATGGCAGGGTTATGTTGCCTCCACTGTGGATGGTGGGGTAGGGATAAAAATACAATTTGCTTTTGCTGTTGTTCACTATTTTATCCTTAAAAGGTCACAGAAGCCCTTCAAAATCCTCCAATTAAGCACCACCCACCCAGAGTCATGTGCATGCACACAGAGTCTGGCTCAACCCCCCCCCATGCATCTAAAGTCGGGTCTGCCCAACAAATTGAGCTAAATCAACTCAGCTGGAGCCCTCAAAAGCAATACAAACATACTAACAAATTAATTTTAAAAAATAGGCTGCCTCACAATGGGATATCCTCAGATTTGCCTGTGTCAGCTTATTTATTAAATTTCTACACTGCCATCTCCCCTAAGTGATTCTGGGTGGTTTACAACCCACAATAATACCGTATATTTATTAGTATTTATTTATTATTTCAATTTTTACATAGCCACCCGACTCAAATATATGACATCATCAGGCTTACAATTTCAAGCCAAATATAATATAAATTTATACATAGAGCTATATAAAACTACTACTTAATCAATAACTGAGGTATACAAAACAATGGCAACTATCAGGATAATCACTGTATAGGCTCTATCATCCTCCAGATCGCCAAGCTGGGGGGGGGGGGAAGGAGGAGAGGCTTTAAGTCCTTTTACAAAGCCAGTAGGGCCAGGGTTATCTCCCAGGGAACAATGCCCCAAACAAAAGATGACATGATAGAAAAGGGATTTGGAACATGCCTTTTCTGCCAGACCTAATAGGATGGGTAGACATAATTGAGAGGGCCAGTTTGGGGTAGTGGTTAAAGCACCAGGCTAGAATTGGGGAGACCATGAGTTCTAGTCCCACTTTGGTCATAGTGGGTGACTTTGGGCCAGTCACTCTCTCTCAGTCTTAGGAAGAAGGAAGCAATGGCAAACTACTTTCAAAAAATGTTGCC